TTAATGCCTATAGATTTACATCTGCATGTGTAGATTTTCATCTCTTAGGCACCTGAACAGTCTAGATGAAGACAACATTTTGCTTGTGACAAGTCATTGCTTTGTAGTCAAGCACAAACACAGCTTCTAGCATCTTTCAGATGCTGTGTTCTTACAGCTTTTTAAAAACAGAGATTAAAATACAGAATCAGGGGCTAAAATGGCTTGATTCACTCTAATGAAATATCAGAGATGTGGTAAAATCTGGTAGCATCAAAGTGAGTACTGAGCATACATCATATGGAGAAAATCCTTAAATAAGGGCACAAATATCAAAGCAAAAATCCAGAAGAAAATGCTCTAGGACCCCAAACCAAGGTTTGGTATTAAAATTTCAAAGGATCATGTTTTAGGGGTGGCTTGGCACCATGAACACCCTATTGCACTACTGATAATGAGAACAAGCCCACATAGCCATAGTCAGCAAAAGCAGCACACTCGTTAGCACCTGCTGCTAAGCCCTCATTTAGCTAATTATATTTCTCCTCCACTTTCTAAACCAGCCTTCTCACAGTGTCACCACTTGTTTTGTGACAAGGCAGTCTTAACCGTTACTGTAGCCTTTTGAAGGCAGCAAATACATAAAGGTTTTAATTTTTGGATGTTTGAGTTGCAGCAAAAAGGAAACATCTGTTGGGAAGGAGGAAGCCGCTTTGCTTTCGTTTCACTTTTGGAGCTGATGATATAATTTGCCATTAGATTGGCAATTAAACACAGCCAACTGGAATGCGAGTTCACATTAAAAAGGGAGCTCAGTTCCTGCCTAGGCCTATTTCAGTAGTTTTTTTAAACCCAATTTTCCACTTAGCTTTCCTCCTTGCTTCAGGGAGACACACATGACCCAGAGAGGCCAAAACCCTTGAAAACCAGCAAAGTTGGTGAAAGCCCACGCTGCCAAAAGCTTTACTCAGAGGTACCCACCGTGGGGACGTGGGGTGCCTTCCTACCCCCTGCAGAGGCAGGGCAGAGGTTTGCCATGGCTCACGTCACCGGGATCTGCCATGCTGCCGAGCAGGGCTGGTGCCTGACTCACGCGGCGCAGCGCTTGTTCCCCCTCTCTGAGTCAGGTCTCGGAAATTGCCGAGCAGAGGCTGCTCCCACAGCACCAAAGACCCAGGGTGCGTTTTTGCACCCACTTACATTCGTTGGCTGTGCTGCACAAAAGCAATTAGGAGCACGTGGGTGAAATCTTACTGTCTGGATCAGCAAAGTCATTATCTACCCTGCATCCGTGTGGTGACACCAGAGGGAAGCAAGACCAAGCAGCGGGTGAGATTGAAGCCCTAGTTAAATGTCTTTTGAGCAAGAACAGGAAAAAACCCTGGGTTCCAGGTTTCCAGAGATGACAAAGAGCTTTCTTGGTTTGTTTTCTTAAAAATCTCTAATAATTATCAATCATTTACCTCTGAACTGATAATATTTCTCATGATGTCTTGAAAAAACAGAGCAGAACATTTCACAATACTCTCCTTAGAGGATGTCTTTCAGAGCAGGGTAAGAGCCATTTAGCAGCCTATTTAATATGCAATTTCTGCCAGAAAATTTCCCCTGTACCATATTATCAAATGCACAGCATAATTGCTGTATAACAACTGCAGCATGTCCTAAAACATTTTTAAAGCCTGGAATGATCTTGTTCAGGTTGAAAGTTGCACATTTTAGAAAGGCCCCTTCTTCCCAAGACTGTTTGAGACCAAATTGACAAGAACCAAGTATTAACCTCCTGCCTCTCAACGTCCATGTTCCAGACGACGATTCCCCCATCGGCACCACAGGAGATGAGCTGCCGCGTGTGGTGAGCGTAGGAGAGAGACTGAACTTTATCACTGAAAAAAGAAGTGAAACAGTTACTAATCAACCATCTATTACAGCTAACACACAAGTAGGATGTACATTAAAACAGTATAAACCATTTGTTTGCCCATATGTTTCCCTCCCCTCCTTTCTGTACATGGCATTCATCGAATGCAAATCAGTCTTTGCTGTCCAGCTGGGACCAGAGCCAGAGTGTTGCTCATCTGGGAAGCATCCACAAAAGCAAACACCTGTTCTGATAACTGCTTTTGCTGCTCCTGGGATGGGAGGTCCCAGCTGCACTGGGAAGCCTGAGCAGAGCTGCAGCTCTGGGCCTCTCTGAAGGCACATCTGGATGCACAAACACAGCCCCAGTGAGGTACCTTCTTGTCAGAAAGTCAGTAACAACTTTGTTTTTATAAATCTCTGCAACATCAGGAATGAAGCACTGAGAAACTACTGAAGGTTTTCTTTTAGCACTAACAAGCATAGAAAATTTCATAAGTAATACAGGAGTCACTAAATTGTTCCTAAGCCATTCCAAGGTAAGGTGGAAGATTTAGGTGCTTTTGCTTCTTTTAAGGAAAAAGCAACACGGGAGATAAAATGCAGTTTAAACCCCCAAAGCTGTGTTCATTCCTTCATAAAAGAAAGAAAACCAGGCCTCAGCTCAAGCTATTTACAGCCTGGGAAAAAAAGATTATACAACACTGATATGGAAAAAACAAGATTAAGAAGAATCAGTAACTGAGCATACAGCAACTGGAACTATCCCTAACATTTGGTTTTCTTTGCTACCACCACTGGTCTCATCTACCCAAAGGACTTTCACACTAATGCATGTGCATACAGCAGCTCCTCCATATCTCATTGAAGATGTCTCTGCTCATTGCAGGGGGATTGGACTAGATGACCTTTAAAGATCCCTTCCAACTAAACTATTCTGTGATGCTATGATTAAGATCCAGAAGCTAACTTTGTATTAGGAGAACTGATTTCCACAGCCATAAATCTAGCAGCAGTGCATTAGCAAGCACCACTGGTAGGGTACAAGGATGGTCAGGGAATTTCAGCAAGAGCTCTGCAGTGCTCTGAAATCCCAGCAGCATTCAAATCCCTCAGCAGAGTGCAGCATCACTCAAAAGAAGTGGATGAATATGTAAGAAATTGTTAGAACAAAACTACCATGGGATTTTGCCTCTCCAGACTTAAACCTGGCACACAAGTCCTACCTATATGTGTCCTCAGTACACTGAAACAAACTTGAGGAAATTGCCAGTATTCAAAGGCTCAGGTCAGAGGCAAGGTCATTGCAACTACAGCCATTCTGATATCTACTCAACACCCAGCACAGGCTTGCTTTTCTTTAAAGACTTCTACTATGTTTTGCAAATGTGAGGTCTGTACATGCAAAGGTGAAGCCTCTTTGCATTGAGGAGATGGTGAAGGCCTCTGTGGGTAGAGCACATTACTTAGAATTCAGGCTGTAAGTAAAGTGGCATGGAAAAAGTTAGCAGGGAGGGAAAACGGGCTAATTGTTCAAGCCTGATGCTCCCTCTAGGGGAAGGAAAGACCTTGACACCTAAAAAGTGAGAATTTCCCTGCAGCTATTCTCATTTGAGGACCCTCCTCTTTCCAGCAAAGGTACTGGCTCTGGAATAACACATTCAGGACTACAGCTATTGTGCTTTCCTTCATGACCCTTTGCAGACTCTCAAACCAGCGTGTGAGCCCAATGCTGAAAACTTACTAAAAGCAACTTATTCCAGTTGCATATGGGCCACAGGGAGTCACACATACAAGCTCAAGGCATGTGAAGACTGTAACCTTTGAGATGTTTGTTTCCAGATGTGGCTTCTGCCTTTAGCTTTTGTCCCACAAAAGCAGGAGGAAGGGTTTTGAACGTACTTATGTCCTTGCAGCTCGATGGCTGTTCCTTTTCTTCCTCCAATATCCCACATTATAATGGAATGATCAGAACTGCCTGAGAATAAAACTCGCTGTATTGGGTCCCAACAGAGAGCAGTAACACCACCTGAAACAGGAGATGCACACAATAGTCATTTCACTACAGAAAGTGGAAGAGAGGAATATAGCTAAATATATACACATAGAGATACAACAAAAATATGGAGAGATAGTGATTAAAATGCAGGTTTCTTTAGGAAAGGCCATGCAGCCACTGTGCTTGCAAGTTGAAAACTAAGAAAACCTTCTGAAGCCCCATCCTGCTCTTCTGCGGGCAGAGGGCTCTGCTGCTGCCACTTGCAAGGATGAATTCACTGAGCAGTAAAGCATGGTAGGAGGATGGTCACAGTGTCACTGCACAGCTTTTAATCTCCATCACTCCCAGGAGATAGATTTTATCACAAAAGAGAAGCAAGTGTGGAATATTATGGGCATCTTCACAGTATTGTAGCACAATGATTGAACTGCCTTGGGCTACCCTGCGACTGAGCTGTTAGCATTCAATCAGAGAGGAAGGATATGGAGAGGAAATGCTGAGGAATGACCACCATTTATTCTGTTAGATGGCAGGATCACATCCCAGGGTTGCTGTTTTTAAAGTGTGATGGAGCATGAGTCACAGCACTGAAACAAGCAGTTAGTGCCTCCAAGATGTGTCTATTCTAGCCTATTCTACTTGGGTAAAAGTCTACTAATATGGGTCTTTCCTTCAGGAGCATCTTTTCCCCCGTCAGAGTTACCACAACTTGTTCTACTCCCACTCTGCTTTAATTACCAACTATTGTTTGTGGTGTTTTCTGCCATAGAAGTTTTCTGATCAGAGGACTGATTGCTCTTGTTTTTACCAATAAAGAATGAGCTTCACTGAGCTATAGTGACAGTTTAAGGTCAATCTCACTTCCATGCCATGCACTGACACAAGTCATCCTAGTGTTTCACAGGAGAGTCAAACCATCTGAGCACAGATGGAGAAGCAAATTAGAGTCTCCTCCTGAGACCTTACCTGTGTGTCCCTTAAATGTCGTAACAAGGCTGCAGGACTCTTGCTCTAGTTTGAGTATGGTCACTTGCCCAGAATGATCACCAACAAACACGTGCCGAGTTTCCACATCAAATCTGATGGATAAATGCTGAGGAAAATACATTGCTTATACAAGCTTTGCATTCCTTTCGTGACTTGTTTTCTTCTTTTAACACGAGTATACTGCAACCTCGTGAACAGTACTTCAGTCTCAAGGAGGTACTCAGAGTGTACTCTCAGGCATCAAGCTCATACCTGTTCATATTAATAGTGCAGTCTCCCTGAGTAAACTAAAAAGTGAGAAAAAATGAGGCTACTCCGAAGGATGCAATCTGTGTTTTTATTATAAAACACCTCTGAAGTAGCCCTTTGCCATGAACAGAGTCATCGTCTCCCCAGACTCTCTAACTTAGGTACTCGAATTGGATGATGTCCACTCTCTTTCCTCCTTCCCAAAATTATATAAAATAACTATTACTAGTTTTCTGCTCCTTCGTTATAGTTAAGTTTACAAATACAACAAAAAGGTGTTGATTTATGCCATATCTGAGGAAGTGTCAGCTACATCAGGTGCATCACACAACATATTCTAAACTGAACAAAATCTGGACCCATTCAACCACCTACTGGAACCACCTATCTGGACAGATTCTGACCTCTTCATCCAGTTTAATTCCACTTTCAGACTTCATAATGGATATTTAAGGAGCAACTGCTTAGCACTGATTTTACACACATAGAACATTGGAAAAACAAAACAAAACACGTATGTTCCTAGTTCTGCCAAGCTTTTTGCAGCATTTGTCAATTATTCTCACTTCACCTGCCTTCCAGCAGCATGATATGATGATGCAAATTAAAGTGTCCTTCAAAATTCTGAATCACTCAAGGGGGACTGTTCTCCAGAGAGGTTTAGGAAATACAGGACAAATTCCTGCATCACACTTTCAAAAGTATTTATCATTCAGTTAAAAATTAAGTTCGGTCTTTATGCCATTTAGACTGGCTGAATGACCAGATGATATAAAGCAAGTCCATGTTCAGACAGTTACTTAGAGTCAGCCTCACTCCCCATGAACTAACAAAACACATAATTTATACCACATACACTAAGGGGCACTAAAAAGTCTGTTTATACTAACTCCTAGTTTCAGCCTAAGAGCTCATACTTTCCCATTTCCCTTTTCATTTGCAATAAAGCTGAATTAATATTTCTTTCATTGTCAGGCAGCTGGGGCAGCTCTAGGTGAATAAGCCACTTGAGTGCCATTTCTGGAGCCATTTATTCTTTAGTTAACCCAAATTCCCTATACATAGTGGGCTGTTCCAGAGTGAAGGACAAGTACTCATTATTTTATATTAAAGTAATTCAATTTTACCATGCATACACACAGGCATGCTGACCTGATCACTGACCTACTTTGCTACTGTTAATTCTTAGAAGAAAGCATGCACTGCATGTTTAAATGAAGGCCCTGTCCATATTTATTACAATAGAAGGCCACAATAGGTTGCAGATTGCCAATTGTCTTGCTCAGAAATACTTAGACCTAAATATGCCACTACGCATTATGGAGACAAAGCGAGGAGAACAGACAGTTTTTTAAATTGGTTTTAAATAACGGTTTCTCTCACAAAGCACTAAACCTATACAGGGCACAAAATTTGGAGGACAACTAGAAAATAAACCAAAGAGGCTGTTTAGGTGCCAAAGAGCAGAAATAAAACTAGGAGCTCTGCAAAGGATACTGCAGGCCACAGGCGCCTGCGCTGGTGCGGTACCCTCCCAGCCGCTGGCCGCTCTCCGAACAGTGCCACGTGAAGTTTTTGTCTTGTCCAGTGCTTAACACCCACTCCATTTCCAGGACGAACAGAATCATCATCACCCTGCTCTGATGAGCTGAAAATTAAGCAGACAGACACATAATAATTGCATTGCGGAGAAGAACACAGAGGCAGAAGATCACTGCAAATACCAACTGCACCCAACTCCTCCGCTCCCTACTCACCCACTAGCCCTTCCCTACAGAAGAAACTGGCATTTAATAATCCTGTTGCTGTGAGCTACCATGCAAGCTTGTAAGGTCCCTGCTTTCCATGTTCAGTGTTTGCATGAGAAAGAGCAGAAGCAAGACTTAATTCCCTCCATGCCTCTTGCAGCCATTTATCTTCTACAGTAGCACAAGTCTTCCTTCCATCATTGTATCATCATCAACAAAGCTGGCATTGTGTAATGCACTCTGGGCTCTACTTAAACCTCTTCTGAGCTGGTTTTATGACAGCAGTGCGGATGCCTACGCTGCCGCTCCTCCTGCTGTGATGTCTGGTCAATCTGTGCTGTGGATTGTGGTACTCCAGCAGAACAACGAATTACAGCACAGGCACAACCCTGCACCAAAGGGAAGCATTAGCATTGCATGTAAACCAGCCGAAAAGAAAATTGAAACAAAAACAAATAAAAAACACCCTAAAAAGATCACAGCTGAGCAAGATGAATAAAACAGCTGAAGGAATAAATTTCTACTGCTACCTAAATAAAGCCATCAAAAGCTTTTCACTGAAGCAAGGGAACCCAGGCTGTACAGACTTTTTTGTATGAATGACCAGTGGGGTTGGTCATGAAGTGCTGATTAAGCAGACTTTTTAATAAAACAAGTGGCTGGAAAGATATGCAGAATTATTCCCAGCTGTAACTTTGCAGCAAATGCCATATTCCTCAATCCACTGGTTTATTACTGTTCTGACACCCAGCAGCATGTGTTACACAAATCAGACTTACTGTATTTGTGTAAAAACTGACACATTGGAAAGATTCAGTATCTTTGGAAGCTTAAAAACCACCCCGAAACCTCCGTCTGAAATGCAGAGAAATTCCTCAGAACAGCATGGGAAGATTGCTGCCCGCCCTACACAAATACACAGCACGGATGAGAGCTGTGCTCAAACCCTAGAAAGGGGAAGTGGCTGTAGCAAAGAACAGGAGGCTTGCACAAGCCAACATCTGCCCCTGACCCACGCTGCTTTTTAGACTCCCCAAGAAGAAAAGTCAGTAGATGCATTGACACCAGTTGCCTTAACTGTGATTGGCAGCTGGAGTAGTTTACAGCACCAGACTTGAACTGTGCCCAAATGCTTTCACCCTCAACCAACTTTTTTTGCCAGATTTAGGCTCTAGTTTCCATACAGTTTTAAACTCCAGGTTTGCAATCAGGATAGAGGGATGGAGGCCACCCAGGACTCACTCAAGTTCTTTTAAACAGATTCTCTCTTCTCTCCACTCTCCAGATTTCTTCTCTGGGATGAAATTCAGTGATGCTGTGGGTGACTAATGCTTGTCTTTATCTCTCTGTTGGTCTCCCTGGGAGCATCTGCACTAGCTGGTGGAGTGGTGCACTGCAAAAAGGGCCATGATGGGATGCGTGGTGCTACAAGCACCCTGGTGGGCTCACTTACACATCTCAGGGGCTTGCGTGTACCAGTAGCACTGCAGACAGAGCCATGCACTTCCACAGGATGTGCAAAGCTGGCTGAGATCAGGTTGTCTGAGGGCTCTCCAGGGATGCTGACTCAGCACATGGCAACTGCTGCTGCCACTGTCAGCTTCCCACGGTTTGAACTGGCTGAGGGGACAGCTGGCACCACCCAACTCTCCTCTATCTCCTCCTACCTCCTCCCAAAATTTCTTCTGAAAGGCAGGTCTTGTATCTTTTGCTAGAAGTACTGCCTGTGCATGGTGAGGCAGCTCTTTCTGGCAAGTAAGGAGTAGACATTAAAGAAATGTGTACATGCCAAGAGGTGGGAGGCATGTACGTGATAGCTTTGCTTACTGTCCCTTCTCAAAAAGAGCCTTCAATTCAGCACTCTGCTGCCCACCTGCAAGTGCTGCACATATTAACTGAGGCCACTACACTGATGCTGATGGCAGAAATACCTGAATCAAGTGAAAAAGCACAGCGGAGGTCATCTAAGAAAGGGAGGAAAGAGGACAAATGCAACTAGAAATTCACTTGTCTTTTTGAGGGAACTTGACCCATGTAAGGCTTAAAGGGGCAAAATGTCAGAAAGCTGGAAGTTGATAGCAGAGCAAGGAAGAGGTCTGGACCCTAGGATTAACACAGGTTCAGGGTCGTGAAGCAGCAAACAGAAAGCTGGTCCTTCATCCACAGGTTTGATCACCATTTTTGTGCAGAAAAAAAGATGGAGCAAACACTTCCAAAGGTGCTCCCTGTGACAACAGCAGGATGGAGAAAGGGGACAGAGAGTGACTGTGGTCATAGCACACAAAAAGCCACAGCAAGCACCAGGCAGAGCAGATCTGTGTAAGCCAGAATGAGAAGAGAGCCCATGTGTGGGGGAAGGTTATGCTGTGCAACAGGTACAGAAGCAGCAGCCAGGAGAAGGGAGCAGGTCCAACTGGAGACTGAGGGTGAGAGTGATAATAGGGGGGCCACATTCTTGCTATGAGAAAGCAGCAGCAAGCACTGTGCAAAGAGCAGACAGGAGAGCAGACGGAAGGACCATGCCTGGACAAAAGAAGCTGTAGCCAGGAGGTGCATGCTGAGATGTCAGCAGTCAGAGCACAGGGCAAAGCAAGAATCTGTGCTGGGTGAAAGGGAGAATCACAACAGTGAAAGGCAGCAGCAAATACCAAAAGAGAGGTGGAAGTTAGTAGCAAGAAAGAACAGCTTAGCATGTGCAAGAAAAGCACAAGAGAAGAGGCACAGGGGAAAGCAGAAGTAAGGGCATGGTGTGAGCTGGCCTGAAAGCAGGGAGGCAGGGGGACACTTTCAAAATGGGCAGGCTGCAGAAAGCACGGGGCAGAAGCCAGTCTACAAATCCTGCTCAGCAGAACAAGAGCATGTTAAATAGACTATTTTTTTTTAAATTAAAAAAGCAGGAGCTTTTTTTTATCATCCAGAGAGGTCACAGACTGGAAATGTGGCCCCTGGCAAGAAGTGCAGTTGCAAGGAGCAGGGTGGAGGAGACTGTGCAGAGTGGGAAGCAGCAACAGCCATGTGACAGGACCAGTCTGTGTAGGGCTGGAGGCAGGACCAGCCTGAGAAGGGCTGGCGACCAAGGCTGCCAAGGGGCGGGGAAGGTTTCTTCAGCCCTTGTAGTCTTGCAGGAATGTGAGTGGAGATGTCCTGGGAAAGAGAAGGTTGCTATGAGTGGAGCTTATCTGTGGCTGCAGCTGGTGCTATGGCTGTAGAAGAGGGGACTGTGACAGTTATGGAAGACCAATCCAGAATGAAAAGTTTAATTTCCCAGAACCTCCCAAATGGCACTGTTCAAACACTTGCATGACCCCTCCTCACGCAAGGGAAGGAGTTGCTGCGTGGAGGAGACCAATGCCCTGTGACCCACGTCAGAGTCCTGACTAACACTGTGTCACATCCTCAATCTCTGTCTTGATCCCTTTCAAGAAACAGAAGATTTCACAACTTCCGACAGCGTCACAGCAAAACCTACAGGGAGCACATCCAGCCATGGACGCTGCTGGTGCTGGGCCACAGTACCAGACTGGAGCTGGCCACAGACCCTTGACAAAACCAAAGCACAGCCTATGCATGTGCTGTCATTCTCTGTCACTAGTAGATCATTTGGCAGACATATTCATGGCCTTTCAAGGCACAATTAATGATCTTTAATCACTACAGCGGCTTGAGATATTTATAGTAATACCTTGTTGTGAAAGATCATTGATAGCCCACCAGTCGTTGGGTAAGGTGCTACTTTTAAGAGCATTGCTGAACATTTACAAACAAGACTAGCACACATAAAACCAGACAGCATGGCTAAGCTAAAATGCCTTGGTAGGGTAAATAAAATTATTTGCTTACTCTAAAATATTTTTAAAGAATATAAAGGCCTTACTTGAAAACTCTGAACAAAACCAACACTTTTTAAAAGTAAGACTTTTAACAAATTAAGTACTAGAAGGCCATCATACCCAACAAAACTACCTGTTCCTTTTTAATTATGTTTTTCCCTGCCTCAGAGCTCTGCCAAGATGCTTATGCCAACCCTTGTACCTCAGTATGGCCTTGTGAGGAAGGTGCACTATAGGGATGAGATTGTGGAGGGGAGTCCTCCTGGACCAGGTGAAGAAGGTTCATCTCTGCTGAATTACAACATACCTACCCCAAAGAACTACATGGCCCTTCCCTGTGTATTCTCCCAGAGATCACAGTGAGCTTGGGGCCCCAGTGAAATCCCCAGTAAGCCCAGATCCAGCCATCTGGATGGAGGCAACTATAGCAAGAGGAGCATGAAACTGCATGAATCCATGGCTGACAGTGCCTCCCAGAGCATTTTGCTATCATGATGTTTCCCCAGCACTCCAATATGTTTGTGCAGCTCTGTGTGGGCTGCTAGCATTGCTGGTAAGCTAGGCAGAGTGTGTCTTCATTCAGAAGCTCTCCTCCATCCCCATGCCCTGCCTGGCTGTGTTATGGCAGCTGTTGATCACTATTCCAGAGAAACTTTCCTACCAAATCTGAATGGCCCTTCACAAAGTCTTGTCCCTCCTGTAGCAATGAATTGGGACCAGTCTGTCCCACTCTCTGGTCACCATTTCCATTTGCTGCACTAACAGCAGTCTAGCTTTCCTAAGCCAGCAGTGAGGGGACAAAAAAAAAATTTTTAAAAAAGCTTCTCCAACAGTACCCAAGGACCTATTTTTCCAAAACCAAACTTTTGCCCATGTGGCTAGCAATGTGCAGAAAGCAGAACAGCAGCCCTAATACTTCTTTAACCCTTACACGGAGAGGATTACTATACAGACACCCACACAGCCGTGGATTTGGGGAATCCCAGCAGCCTGGGAACACCACACTTTCTTTCCACTCCCAAAAATTAGGTCACTTGCACACGGCCACTATTTTCTTAAAATAGAGCAAGAAAGTTTTCATCAGTTTAAACAAGGAAAAGACCAAACACCAAACTAGCAGAGTGGGAGGAAAACAGGGCAGGGGCTCCATGCCCCTGAAGAACACAGCAGGCAGCAAGCGCTGCATGCACTGGCTGAAGCACCTTGGTTTGGGCTAGAACTGAAATGATGCCTATTCTGGGCACAAGTATTGCTCCTCTTGCCCCAAAAGAAGTCCACAGCTTTCAGATAAAATCTCCTAACACATAGTCTGAGAGCCCTGACACAACACGACCAGAATAGATCAAAACCCTTCCCACGCTGAGACAGGCAGTCTAGGAAGGAGGCAACTCCAGTTGGGATTGTGGTTAGTTGTACAGCTTCTCTACTGACGTTAACAACCCTCATTAGATTCCTCTGTTGTCCAACATTTAGGGGTTGTCATCTGAAATCTTGGGGTTCTCCCACAGGACAACCCATGGAGGTTTCTCCGTGGCTTCTTCCTATCCAAAGGCCTCCTTCAATGCTCTGTAGCAGCAGCACATCTGGCATACTGCAGCAGAGGGCCATGAGAACAGCATTCATTTTCCTTAATTATTTCTTTTTTAAAATTTTATGAGAGGTGCTTCCCAGGCTGCCACACTCAACTGGCTATTCTGCCATACTGCCAAGATGCACATTCACCCCTTTCAAAATTTTCAGCCTTTTCCCTGAAGGGCTCAGCAAGAAAGGTGGTCTCATGGATGCCTTGTTCTGCTTAAGCACACTTCAGCTCATTCTTCCTAGGCTGCAATTACCCTGCAGTATTGAATGCAAGCAAGCAAATGGATAAGCTAATAACAAAGGGGGATACAGAAGAACCAGGAGGACTCTTCACTGCAACAACCCTTAAATATCAAACCTAAGTGTGTCAAACATTGCTGATTGTGAACCAATCACAAATTTGGGTACTAAGCACTTGTGCAGTCAGACTGCAGTAATCTTATTTAAGATTCACTTACATATTTTGTCTTCATTGGATAATTTTCTTCAGTTTTTACGAGCTAAGAAAAAATAGATGCATTCTAGCTTAATTTTATAACACATCAGGCATTCATGAAAAAGCTTAAGTAAAATGCTCAAAAGCCAATGCATGGTATTGGCGCTTTGCAAAAACCAAGATTCTCTTCACACCTTAAAATCTAAATGTTACAAAGTGATCCCCAGCGCCTCCATTTAGAGATTTAAATTATCCTCTCAACCTTTCAAGGTATAAAACTCAAAATATATGAGTAAATACATACTTTAAAATGTATGTGAGAAATCTCAAGCTAATATGTTAGATGCTTCTACACAGAAACAGTGCTTAGCATATATCATATCATATCATACCATACTGCCTCTTAGTTCAACAGCAAGAGATACAAGAACAAATTATTGCACACATTTGTTATTTTATAAAAATCTCTGTCCCAAGCGCAGTGTCCTTTAGAGGTCTGACAAGGACAAATAGGTTTCTTAAACATGTTTCTTAAAACATCACATTAGTGAATACCAAAATATAATTAGAAAAGATATGGATTAGCATTTCTTGACCTTTTACTATGACAGGTATTCACTGATAATGTTCATATTACTGAATCTGACAGTTATTGAACCTCAGCTGTAAAAGATGGGTTAGTTTTCCAAGTTGTTTCATTAGATGCACTGGATTACTAAAGATTAAAAATTAATATTCCTCTTCTCCAAACATGGGCTACATTTTGGACAGTTTGCTGTCTAGAATGATATTCCAAAGGAACATTTAAAAGGAAAAACAACACGAAACAGTTCTTTAAAGGTTTTGTAATCTTAGAACAAAAAGCATTATTGATCTATTGATAAAACCAGCATTTACGTTAGTTTAAAAAAGAAAAAATCACTGTAAAGGAGACTTCTTTCCATTCACATTCATTAAGAGAACATTAATGACAATACCAACCAATTAACGCCGATCACGGTTCTTACCCTGGTAACTTTTCACTAGCGTCATCTTGTTGTAATCTTCCGATAAAATGAATTCCTAAGGGGAGTGGGAAATAAAACAAAACAAAAGAAACAGTGCTTAGAGATGTAAAGTGTTTGAGCATGTTTTAATCTGAATTATTTACCAAGGTAAGCTCTCCTTTCTTTGTAACCACAGCCCTATCTATACTCTTGCTAATTTTTAGTACCTCCATCTGAAAAACTAAATTATTTCACTTTTTAAAACTGCCTAAGAAACAACATCATGAGTGCTTCTGAACAGAATGGTGAAGATAAAAGAGGAACTTTTAAAAAATAAGCCAAAAAAGCTGACAGAAATGACTGCCTATGAGCCGAGGTATCACAAAATGAGAGAACTGAGATCCAGCATGTACCAGAGTCAAGGCTGACTGGCCAGAAACCTGCCCGTGTACACGGTGCTCTGTGTGTGTACATGTATGTATGCATGCATGTGCATATGCTACACCCCAACCTGAACACTAAGGAAACTCACTGTAAATATGCAAGAGCCCTTTGAAGTCACTCTGTCCAAATGAGGTACCAATAATCCATGATGGGAACACATTTCAGGTTTCTGTTCAAAAGTCTCTGAGAGCTTCAGACAAACAGAAACACAGACTTCTTTCCCCTCTTTATTATATCCCACTATTGGTTAATATTTATTCAGATATCCCAGAAACAGACTTTCTTGCTTTGCTACTGCTTTGTTGTGGCTAACATGCAGTTGTGTGTGGGATGGAGAGCAGCTTAGGAGGACTATGAAGGACTGTGGCTGCCTGGGGAGAGATGCGTGGTGGGACCCAGCTGGCTTGGTCCTGTGGCCCAGGAAGAGCACATTGATGGAGACTGCCAATACAGCATTTACATGAGGAAATTATGAACACAGCAGCTAAGAGACTGCATAGCAGCCTCAGCTCCTGGAAAAGCCCCATGTGGTTAAACTGATTGAGCACCTGGGTGTCCCTGCTGCTTGTTTTGCAGATGAGAGGTTGCTCAAAACAGGGCTGGAGTGGCCACAACAAAAGTCATGCAACATCTCTCTGGAGGAAACACCCAGGCAAAGGGTAGGCTCTGCAGCCTCGCCGCATGAGTAAGCTTTCAAACTGCTGTCAGGTATCTATACGCATACACTATGTACTCACAGAAACACAAAGAAAAGAAAAGGAGTGTAAAACCACATAATATTAATATTTTATAGCAAATTGCACAGAAACTCTCTGAGCTAATCTACCTTGGAGACAGTAGAAGTCAAATCTAACTCATTTAATCTGTAAATAGAGTGAAAATAAGAGAAGCACTATAAACACAAGCTAAGCTAAATTTTAAAGCATACAGTTGTGAAATATTCATGTACAAGCACTGCCAAAAGCACTGTGCAGTAGTAGAGAAGACTGGACTCCAGGACTCTACAGACTATAGTTAAGGCAACCCAAACGTTTAATGCGAAAGAGCATGAGAAGACATTCTAATCACAGAATACCTGGTATTTACCCACAGTTTCCACACTGGAATGAAAAATACATAGTCACTCTGCATTTTCTGTGGGATGACTGTAGGTAAACTGCATGGCTTTCCAGCACCAGGATGACCCTAACACATCATATGTACTGCTTGGCACCAAGGTGAAGAGGCTACAGTACTCATCTGAGGAACATCTATAGGTCCTAGCTTCCAGGTAAACAACTGTGAGTGAGTCAAGGCAGCTGTGTATTTTGCTGTTTCTGGGTTTCTATTCAGAAGTTACATATAAATATGTTCTCTTCAATTGCCTTACTTCATCTTCCTTTCCTTAATCTGCTCCACCTCCCGTTAGCTTTCCCCTGGCAGCTGAAGACTACAGTGGGGAGCGCTGTATAAACAGCAGTAACAAATCAATTAAGTCAGCTGGATTTCTATACCAGGGTCACCTTAACTCTACAAACCACAGAACGTTAAAAATCATCTATACCTTCCCAGCTACCAACAGGGGAAGTGGTTTTCATTAACCACTGCCTGAAAAATGCTAAATCACCACATGAAATGCCTTACTACAAAGCCTACCAGAAGCTGTGAATGCTAACTTTCTGCTGCCAGAAATGGCTTCAATTGCTGCAACAGATCCTGGTACAATATTGCCTTTCCCCCCAGTTTTGCTAGCCTAGTACTGACTCCAGCTTTCACTGTGGTGGCACACAGACGCTGGTGACTTCAGACGGGATGAAGAGTGTGGTTAGCATTCTCATTTTTCTTTGCATTTTTCCACTGATAAATGTGATGTTGCCATTCGGTTCCATGATCCGAACAGACTCATGGCTTCAGTGGAAGACTGAAAAGGCTTTTGAGTCTCTCCATTATCACACAGCAAATCAAACACCGCTGCAGTTTGTAAGGTTCACCCAAATATTGATTAGCTCTGTATGCTTTAATACAAACCGCAGCTATCTACTATTAATACATCACTCTATCCAAAGAGATAAACAAACACAGTACAAAATAAACACAGTTCCATTAACCTGAACACTGGATATAATTTTTTGTTTTTTTCTTTCTCCTGAAGACTTCTTGCTTCTCACTTTCTCCTTTGAAAGCAGATTATAATCTGCAATGCATTTTCTTGTTTTGCATTTTCTAATCTTCCTCCAGGTCTTTTACTCCTTGCTCCCCTTTACACTATCACATGTTTTTCCATTGCACTCATTCCTCTCTCCCTCTGAAGGCCAAATGTGTAAGTTGTGTCAACAGACAGGTGTTTTACCACAGGGCACCTTGCTCAAGAAATTCATGCCCTATTGCACATATATTGTGTCATCTACACTACAAAGACACCGACTACATCTCTTTAACATTGTACCAGCAGAAACTGTTGGTTATTTTATCCTTCCATACGTAGATGTTTTGCTCCTGTCTGAGCTACTGACACTCACTTCTCATTAGGCAGCTTTTTGGCTCTTCTTAATGAGCTAAAAAGGTTGGGGTCACCCACACAGCACAGTCGGTGCTTGTTAACAGAATGGAGAAAGATGTCTGAGTCCTGTGCGAGCCCTTTTGCACAGGAGGGGCTGGGATATATCAGAGTGCTCAGGAGAGCAAAACCAAAGGCCCTCCTTGCAGGGATTAAAAATATTTTTTCTGGAAAGATCACTCTTTGCTCTCCAAAGGTTTTTTTGGAGCTACTTTTCTACTTTTTTTTGCCACACTGAAAATGTTAATGAGCAATTTCAACTGTTTCAGGTAAGTTTATTATTACAACAGAGACTTGGTACCGTGACAGTCTTCACAAAGCAGAAAGGAGCATCTGAAAAGACTGTCCCATCCAGTGCCCACTGTTGCACAAAGACTCTCAACTATATCTTCATGGAGCACACCTCCCTCACACCAAAACACATACACCCACCACAAACTTCTCTTGAGCCTAAGACCTCTGTAAATCCTCACCCTGGAAATATTATCAGCATCTCGTTTCAAATGACTCTTGTTAAGGTAAACAAACCCCATACTCAGGTGTGTGCCACTTGGGCCAGGGAGCAGGGTGACATGGCCCAGGGTCTAAGGAAGACCCATGCCTCTCCAGAGCTGCAGGTAGGCGCCAACAGATGTATCCCCAGATAACACTAGAGACCTCTGCTTAGGCAACTGAATCCATTTCTGAGAGTTCCATTTAATCTTTATATATTAGTTATGCGTTACTTATTCACAACCTAGTTCCCAGCCCAGGGAATTTACAGTCTGTACTCTGATAGATGATGGCATTTTGACAGCACACTGTGACATCCTCAAAGGCTTCACTTCATCCTGTTAACACAAGTGACCGACAGCACTCTTGTGTCTTCCACACAGCAACAAACCCACTTCAGAAATGGAAGAGAATGAAGCCTCTTAAATTTACTGTCAGACTCTACATCTATGTCTGTTGCAAAGAAAGCTCCATAAAATGGTTACAGTATTTTCACTTTAAAAAGCACAAAGACAAGGAGAGGACAGAAACTATCATGCAGTATTTTTGAAGGAAAAAAATGGTAAAATTCCCACAGTGCCAGAGGGGAAGTAAGTGTGCACATCAACAGGTAGAGCCTGACTCAGCCTCAGGTATTCAAAGTGCTGTTAATGGTCAAACCTGTAGACACCTACAAGATCAAACGATGTGGAAAATTAATCTATCTTAATAAGTACTATCTCCAAGGAAAAATTCTGAAGAGGTTATTCTGGTGCCCTGTTGCCTTTGTGGTCCTGCTCGAAGTGTGTAACAGCTTCATCTAGGCACAAGCATGGTCAGTAAAAAAAGATCAATTTAATTCAGCTTCAGCTACCTAAAAACTAAATCCCTCATTTAAATGTCCCCAGAAATAAGAAGAGAGTTTTATGCCATTCTAAAACAGTTTCTAGAGTAAGTAACATGGATAACCCCAAAGGCAATTCACCTCTTCTCTATTGACTGCAGAAACCTAATGATTAACTTTACTTAGGAAGCCAACTTTCAGATAGATGAAATTAGATGAAGAGTCTCATCTTGGCTACTGAAGTCTCCTGTCTATTGAGAGTAATAGACCTTTCCTCTGTTTCTTCTTGTTGTGGTATCTTAACATACCTGCACCCATTAAAGCATGTTTTTCTCCACTTCAGAACAAGGAATTTATGATAATGATAAAATCCTTTGGCTTCCAAAAGGGGCCTCAGGCAGTCCCTAGACATAAAGTAACAGAAATGCCATTTCTTCTCAAAAAAGACTTGCAAATTATATATATAAAACCACAGAAACCTTTTTTTTTTAACTTTGGGTAAGTAAAAGCTTCAAGCAAGATGCTAGATAATCTTTCGCTCAAAGCAATGGTCTCCTGTGCTGCACCATGTTTGTGCAGCCTTCATGTTGAGAGGTTATAAAAAGTTGAAAACAATTTCTTCACCTTTGTAGAAGCAAAAATTGTCATCCTGCTTCACAAGGTAGGGTGGCCATATAAGGGTGGCTTTGTGGTGGCTTTGCTGAAACATCTTTGTTTGACAGTAGCATTTGCTGGCCATTCATCTCAAAATGCACCACACACATTTCTGTGGTGCCAGGCTTATAACCAAAATCCATACAGTTTACAAAGATTTCATGTAAAAGAAAAAAGGAAGTTCCACTTTCTTATCCTCATTTACACCTGAAATTAAAAGCAGTATTTCCTTGCACTACAAAAATAAAGTTTGAGATTATGCGACACCATCATGAGTATTACATTAGTTTACAGCCCTTGCCAGGAGTGCTTTCCTTCTACACAGTCAATGTGAACATGCAAAATTATTTTCAGCTTATTTTTTGGCCCTGCACCCAGCCTACACAAGGGTGCTGGGTGTTACCACAAGTGCTAACATGGAACTGCCAAACGATTCCCAAATATTTCAAGCTGCTCAAGTAAATTGCCTGTACTTCCCCTTTGAGGGCCACACAAAAGTAAGGGCACTAAGGTCATCTTGTTGCAGTAAGTTCTCCTATTTTGTGGTCACTGTGCCTTGCTTGTATACTCCTGTGCTAAAATGATCATCATAGCTGTGCCCAGGAAGAAAAATTTATCCTTTCCTCCAGAGGGTGGTTGTAACCCACTTTCAAGTAACCAGGGATTTTCTTTAACAACCTAGTATTGCAGGGACTTGAGTAAGGGGCTACCCTTGCACTTCCGTTCCCAGCTCCACCACTTCTTGTAGCACATTACAGCTGTAGCTTCTTTTACAACCCTTTAAATTTGCTAAAGAAGGAAACATTACATCACTTTTGGAAGTTTGTGGAGCACATTTTCTGCACAATTCTCTACAGCCCAACTGTCTGCAACTACAGGTGACTAAATCAAGCAACACAGACAAGTCCTCCCCCCCTCCCATGTACTTGCATCCAGAAGATGGGGAAAAGAAAAGCCCAGCTTGGCAACAAATAGAATCTGCCCTAGACATGGCAATAAATACCTAGAAGTATCCAAAGTCACATGTTGGTTTACCACCTGCATATCTCATTTACTTTCTTTAGCTTTAGAACGGAAAATATTTGACTCCATTCAGACTCAAGCACCCTTCGACTCTTGAGGGCAAAACACCCCAATGACAAAAGACACATCCCTTCCCTCATGCCAAAGTATCTAAATACCTTATTTGCAGTCCCTTTCACATTCCTAAAAGGCCTGGCAAAAACAAAAGTGCCCAGTAGGACTGGCAAACTACAGCTATTTCAGAGTGGGAAGGAGGGAATTTCAGAGGTGCAGGGAATTCTCTGGCAGCCGTCCAGTCTCCCAGATACAAAAGGAGAAATCTCCTACAGGCACAAACAAAATCCCTGTTACTAGCCTTTAATAGCTTTATAGGTCAAAACCTTCACATCTTTGATACAGCTCACAGTCAACAGCTAAAATAGTCATACAGCCTTTCCCAAATACCATTTTGGCTTTAGTGCAGATAGCTGCCTTATGTCAACCTGCAAACACTCATTCAGTTATAAAGTCCAACAGCAGTAAAAATCTGAAATTATGGTAAAATATTCATAAACTGAAAGTACAGTCTATTGGTGAGACATAGGTGAAAAGTACATCTCTGACCCATGACCTTTCCATGAAGCGATATAGGTCTTTACTCATAATTTCACAAGAAAAATCCAATGAATAAAGTCAACTGTTACCCTTGTCCCAGACCTAAAAGACAGACTCTTGTTTCAATACCCTGCTTCCTTTCCATGCACAGAGATCTCTGTCAGATGTTAAGGAACCAAATCTTTCAGCAACAGCAGTGCCACGTAAGGGCAACTCCTCTGAAGGAAGTGAGAAGAAAACAAAATCTGAATCCCAAAGTTTGTACAAGCAGCTAGGTAGGGAGCAGAAATCCACCTTCTGCCTCTTAGAAGATTATTTTTCTCCTCTTAATTGCTGCTTTCAGAGAACTTAGGTATGCTACGATTAACAAGGCACTCAAACTCAGTAGAACAACAGCTGGTTTTCTGCATTGTTATTTTTAAAGAGATATGCAAATTAAGACAGTTTGTTGAGTTGCTTAATAACTATTGTAAACCCCACTCAATCTCTTTGTGGCAGTTAGAATGAAATTTGTAGTATCTGCCACTTTCTACACTACAGCTTCAGTTCCACTAGCAATAAAAAGTCTCTCTCCCAGACACTAGCAAAAATATCCTCACCACAACATCACACATATACTTCTCAAAAGGGAAGCGTTTCAACTAGAAATCTTTGGATGTACTTACTGAGATTGTACCATTGTCTAGACCTATGGACAGCCTTCTGGTTTCCGGGTTAAAAGACATGCATGAACATGGAGCTGAAAAAAATGAACATGTTGATGAAGTTAACAAAACTGCCATTCTCATTTTCTTGAAGTTTTGGAAAGCCTAAAACTAGCTAACATGCTTTATGATGCTGTTCAGCATTTTGCCCCTTCCAATAGACAAACATTAAAAATTTAAAAAAAAAAGTGTTCTTGCAATCCATTCCACCCTATCCTATTAGGGCGTGGAACAATGGCTATTTCTTGCTCCAGCTCCTTCATTTTTTCTTACTCGTTATACGGAAACAAACATGTCATACAAGAGCAGTGGTGGTGTTTTGATATAAGAGGCATCTGACATTTCAGTATAAATCTGAGAGATTACTTAGCTGAATAATTTAGGTTTTTTATATTTGCCTGAACTTTACTGACAATAAAAGAAAACACTGTATTGTGTCAGAGGCTTGCATCCTATACCTGCAATATGAAAATTAACCTGCAGGAATCAATATATCAGCCAATATTAAGGACTGTGACTCAAACCACCCCCTACTCCAGTTTCACCACAGACAATGCTTTGACAGTATCACACTCTATGGCCAAAGTAAAATATTGTCTTGAAAACTAGCTATTGTTTTATTATATCAATATTATTGTAATAAACACTAGGATATATTCTTAAATTGCTCACAAGTCAGTCATCCTATGCTCACTCAAGGATCTGGCAGGGTTTCATCAAGGGTAAAACTGGAATTTTATTGCAAGAATTCAAGAGCTACGTATGCTTGGTTTAGTTGAGAAATAGTGAAGTTGCACTCAGAAGGCAGGGATTTTCTTTACTGCCCAACACAGCAGCATTCAGCTGGGAGTCCTGCTGTCCCAACAGAAACCTTCAAGAATCATTTTCCAGCAGCAATTGCCAACTGCAGCTCATGGCAGGCATTCTTGTTCCTTCAATAGTTAAAAGAGTGTTTTCCAAACCATATTCTTGTGATAAATACGAAGTATAGTCAGTTGTGCTTTTAGTTCTGCTTTTTCACCCTCTCTTGGCTCCTACTCTTCATTGTGATTCCTTACAGTGTTTTTGCTACTAACAAGCTTGGAGTCCTCTCTTTTGCAGTACTGTCTATCTGGTGTATTCTCAATTTGTGTAATGTCTCACCTAGAATTAAACAGTCCATAGCTCAGCAAATCTTCCTCGGTAGTTTAGTTGGCAGCAAAGATATATGAAGAAGAGGAGAGCCTATGCTGACTGTTCAACAAAACTTGTTCTACCTTCGGCATTGACTCCCTCTTAAACATTTGCTAAAGTACAACCAACCACAAGCAGAAAGCCTACCAGATCCACATTTAGGCAGGCACATACATTTCTATCTTTCCTGGAAGGGCTGATTGAATTAAATCAAAGAAAAGGCTTCAGTTCAAGGAAGCTGCCAGCAAGGAAACACTTAAATTAGGGCTACTAACAGAGACAAAATTGATCCTTCCTATACCTCTCCCTCAGAAAAGGTAAACTTGAATCATGTCTTCGAATGGTGGAACATTACTGTTATACTGAAGCTTCTAGGATTGTGGCAGAATGAGACAATTTTAGAAAAAACAGACAGGGAAAAAAAAAGCAATTCTAAGCAGAATAAATATAGAATCCTTTTAAAGGCACTTAATGCCAGAATAAGCATATTCTACATATCAGCTTTCAAACACTAGGCACTGTGCATACATTGAAAGAGCTTCTACCAACTCTGAAGGCAATAAACAGCTTGCAGAGAAAAAGTACCAGGTAAATTAGCTATTTGAAGTATGCTTTTCCCAAATAGCCTGAAACACTTTAGACACAAAAGGTGCAAGCAATTGCTTGACATGGGCTGATTACAAAAATTACTTCTGACTTCCAGACCTGTGTGTACACAGTCATAGCAGTGTAAAGATTTTGCTATAATGACTTTCCTAAGGGAATTCTTCTTGTGCTTTTGGAAGAATCATTATGTCGGCACTAAAATTATGTCCACACTAGCTACACTAATGTAGTTAAAGTGATGCCAGTAGTAACATGACTGCAGCACCTTACACTTTAGTGAAAATAAGATAACATTCAGATACTTAAGCACTTAGGCTCATTAAGAAGGGAAGAAAAAAGAAAAAGAAAAAAAAAAAGAAAAATACACCAAAACAAAAACCCCAAATCCTAAGCTTCTGAGATGTTCAAGATCCTTTTAAAATAGTAGGCAGGAAAAATAACAGCACTCTGAAGGCCCTACTTCAGTACCTACCTATGATTTGGATTTCAGACTGGAAAAATATTGATCCAAACTACTACAGAGGACAGGCAGGATAATCCTGATGCAGAAGGCTGGCTGTAGTCTTTATCTTAAATACAAGGCTAATACACACTAATTTTAGCCTTTGGAATTCAATTATGGAGGAAAAGCCCAATTATGTACTTCATGCTCTCAACACTGTGTCACCTCTATTAGAGGCTGACAGAAGTAGAAGAGAAATACAAACTTTGTACCTGCAATTTCAGGGACCTCCCTTTGAAGCGCTTAAAAGTGGCATAGTGTAAAGACTGAAAGAGCATGCCCATGTTTTGCTTTGCAGCTTTTTTACCCTCCTGTTCAAAGCAAAGTGTTAGCTATGAAAACCATCGTAAGACAGGCAGTGGATACTCCACGGTTCCTCATTATAATAAATCCTTTACTCTGTTCCACATCTGTGACATGTTTTTGTTTGGTTGGCTTTGGGTAATTTTGGATGTCTTTTTTTTTTTTTTTTGGTTAAGCTTGCTTCTTTTGACTACAGTTCCTTTCCCTTGCATAAATTTGTGTATCCTAAGCTGTTAGTTTTGGTTTTGTATTGTTTTGTTTTGTTTTCTCCTGTACAGACACCGCCCAAAAGTCACACATCCAACCATGGTAACACATCTATAATCTGTGTTACACATGTGCAACCAAGGGTAGACATCTAACCATGAGGAGGGCAAACATGCTTGTCAGAGGCCTGTTGCCAGTCAATACAGCTGTTGAGACAACGCTGGCATGAAGGAGATACACTAGCCAGGTTGCCAGCTTACCTAGTTTGCCTTACTGATGATACAACCATGTATTACACCCACAGCTCGCTCTTTCTCATGGGCTAGAGGAGACAATAAAAAATGTGGCCACCATGTTGTTCAGAATTTTCCAACCACAGAAACACCCATAGGCAGGGCATAAAACCTTGTTACTGGGGAAATCCCACCTCTAAACAGCAGCAAGTGTCCCTATATACAAGAGATCTACAGTCTCTGTCTTTTTTCCAGCTACTTAATGGGTTTCATGTTCAGAATGCACTGATGGCCTCACTCGGGTCCAGAGCTTGACCAAAGCACATAATGACTTGGCCCAACTCCTCATCTCCCAGAGTACCCAGGGCACAAACTCAGTTATTAAGGCTACCTGATATCAAATCCTAAAACAGTGTAGGTTATGCACCACCTTAACCAAAGTTACAAGTCTTTAATTTGGGGTATCTATATGTGGGACCACCACTCACACAGAATCCTAGAATCACAGCATGTGTTGGGTTGAAAGGGACCTTTAAAGGCCATTTTAGACCAACTCCCCTGCAATAAGCAGTGACATCTTTAACTAGATCAGGTTGCTCAGAGCCCCATCAAGCCTGACCTTAAGTGTCGCCAGGGATGGGGCCTCCACCACCTCACTGAGCAACCTGTTCCAGTGTTTCACCACCCTCATAGTGAAGAACTTATTCCTGATGTATAATCTAAATCTACTCTTTTCTAGTTTAAAACCATTGCCCCTCATCCTATCACCACATGCCCTTGTAAACAGTCCCTCCTCAGCTTTCCATTAGGCCCCCTTCAGGAACTGGAAGGTCGCTATAAGGTCTCTCCAGAGCCTTCTCTTCTCCAGGCTGAACAACCCCAACTCTCTCAGCCTGTCTTCATAGAAGAGGTGCTCCAGCCCTCTGATCATTCTGTGGCCCTCCTCTGGACATCTTGCTAAGCAGCAGGAAGGTACCACCATGCCTACTACATTTTTACACAGAGAACCTCTGGGCAGTTGTTCTCTGAACAACACAAACCAGTCTGATCCTAAAGCAGAGGACCATCAAAAAGGTGATCCACACAGAAACAGACAAAACAATCATTTCCAGTCAAGTGCAGACTTGTGCAGAGGCTGACTCAGAGCCCTTCTTATGATTTTCAAGCTTAAAGCTATGGCTGATAACAATGTAATTGGCAGTGCTCCAGTTATTTAAGTTATACTTGGTCATTCTTGAAATTAGTGAATAACACAGCATAATTTTATTATCTCAGGCTTAAAAGCTTACCAGCCTTCCAAGCAAAGGAACAGTGTCAGGTGTTCAAATTTATGAAGGAGTTTTAAAATAGTCCCCTTTGAGTGGATCTGCATCTATTCCATTATTTCCAGTGAAGCTGTTATTACTGGCAATAGTGTAGCCTTGCTAAAACTAGAGGAGGCCCTAACAAGATATTAAAATGCGAATGCATGCAAAGACACCACATGGAAAAGGAGAAGTATCAAAGCCAATCTGCTGGAAGAGCCATTTCATAACAGTTTGACTGGGGAAAGTAAACTTTTTAGGACAGGTCAAGGGAACTCAGGCCACTGCTAGTGATCACGACAGAGCTCCACAGACTGCCACCTCATTAGTTGATTTCCAATGCTTTTTTGTGCAAAATCTCAAGCAGAAAGTACCTTTGAGGCTTGACATATTCCTAGGAGCTAGTCCATCACCAAAAGAAGAGAGATACTCCTTTCTTTGAAATTGACACTTCCTTAGAGCAGGGAAACACCATGGCCACTCTAGGGTCCCAAGCTGATGTTGCTATGTACTAAAACTTGTATCTATTAAACATTTTACATATCATGGAGACAAATGTCTCTTCCAAGTCTAGTTACCTTAGCTTAAATTTTTTATTTCTCCAGACAGTAAGGATACCTTGATGTGACTTGATAAATGCTCCCCAGTATGTGGATTTAAGGTCAGCTTCACAAACTTTCCAAAGACAAGCTAACCCCGCACATCTGAAGCTGACTGAGAAGCTTCATCATACCCTTGCTGCTGGTGACCTGCAAAGTTATATCCCTGTACTCAACACAGGGGCTATGACAAATAGCTAGGGCTGTGATTTCATCAACTGTCTCCTGGAAAAATGGACAACAATCAACATTTTCTTTTAAAGCATGAACACTCTCTTCGGGAAAGGAGACATGCAGCAGATCATACTGGAGGGATCCATCAGAGACTTGGTTTTCCACATTTAATTGCAGAGGTAAAATGATTGTCTCTTCACTGCAAGAGCTCCCTTCCCTGTCTAGTATCCTCTCTATCGTATTAGCTGCCACAGGATATTAAGTTCTTATCAAATAAAACCATTTACCATTGCACTCTAATGGACTGAGCACATGCAGTAGGAAGGGCAGAGTGATTTATACTGAAGACTTACAACGCTTTATGGACTCCTTTAGTGGCAGAATGCATGACTATATTTTAGACTCCCACATTTTTTTAATCTATGTTTGCATTAAACTCTCATCCTTTGCTAACATATCTGTGTCCTTTTGCTGCTGTAATCCCTGATGCCTCTCAGAAGCATTAGCAGGCAACTTGGTAAAGCTTCACAGAAACCAAGAGGATTGTTCAATAATAATATTTAATACAGAGTGGTAAGCTTGCAAATAGTTATAAACATGAAGCTTCATCAAAACCAGAAAATCCATTTTGCAAATATACATAAGACTGAACATTTCCTTATACTTACATGGCATTGCATGGTATATACTGGGCCAGTACTGCCCACTGTCTCTCTTCAGCCAGACACGAACTGTTCTACAAAAGAAAAAATACAACACGCACATGAGAAAGACTGAAAAAGTAACCATGAATGAAAACAAAGTGGTGATGATGAATGCGCAAGACCTTCTTCAAAATTAAAATTATTTTGCTGAGAGGGAAAATAAACCTGCAAACTCCTACAGCAGCCTCACACATCAACCTCAGAACAACCTCTGTAAGGTGATAAAGGCAGCCCATTTCTTGGTTCTGTGTACTCAACACCTCAGCTGAACGCATCACAATAATAACTCGGAAATTGCTATGGCTTTTTGTAACTTGCCTTTCCCAAGCACTGGAACATGACTGTTCAATGCATCACTTGAGGATTTGGGACACCCTAGGTAGCCCAGGAAAGCACTCCTGTATCAGCCCATCCACTCAGAGTGCTATCAGATGTCCACTGAGCACCAGGCTGAAGACGCCAAACTCTTATCCTTCTCTGAAGAGGATGATCAAGGTGACAGGCAGGCTTGCAGTCCTCCTCTGCCCCATCAGTTTGGAGTTGCCATCCTCGAACAGAGGCACCTAGAGCCATGCAGTGCTCCAGGCCTCCCCACAAACACATCAGTAGTTTCCTCTCTGCTAGAAGACCTTCCCAATGTATCTCAGGATTACTTTTGCTTTCTCATAATCGTGTCATACAAGCAGCTCTCTCTCACTCAATCCATGCCCTTCACACACTTGAGGCACTTGTCGCTTGATTCCTGAACAGAAGATCTGGACTGATGCACCATCTGGGTAATTAAATATTTATTATTTCAGTCCTCATTGTCATTCGCTTGGTCCAATCTCTGAGACCTTTTTCTATTTAAAGCTCCCTCATCACTTCATCAGCTAATTTCATCAAAACATGCCTAGTAACAGTTAAAGCAACAGTCAGCCACTAACATCCTGCTTGTTCCTGCATAGCCCACTGTTATCTCAATTACAGCCAACTGTTACCTGCCTTACTGTTCCTCAAATCCTTACATCTTCAATTTTAACTAGTAAACTCTCCATATAACACTGTATCCCATGCTTTACTGATTTACACCAAATGTATTAATGTTCTCTAGAAAATTTAATTATCCAGGACAGCATCATGTTAGCATAGCACAATAGATTTTAACCAGTTACCCACTTCTATTTAGTCTTATCCACCACAGTTAGTATACAATAGTAGATACAAGAGGGATCTAAAAATCTATTGTTAAACATAACCCTCATTTTCCTGTAGCAAATCTATAACTTGCACTTGATAGCATTAAGGAAAAAAGCAAGAATGGCTCTTTCCAGGTCATGAAATGTAGAAATAAAGCTTATGGAGAAGACAACATGGTCATTCCTATTGTTACTTCATTTTCATGGAAAAGCAGATTTCAGCCCTTTCTGGCCAGTACAAGTTTAGAGATAAATAAAATAAAATAAAATAAAAATGTAATAAAAT